TCACAAAGACGCGATTGGTCGATTATTTTTCCGTTGCAGCAGCACTAGCATCTCTGGTCGTTGTAGCATATGATCGATATATCGCCGCTCTCGGTGATACGGCATAAGTTTTCCATTCTAGTGGGTCCGTCCGTAGAGGCGTAGAATGTCGGACCATTGAAATTCGATTAAACTTGAATAGTGGAGTAAAAATTGAGCTCGGAAGAGGAGCGGCGGCACGACGGCCGCCGCCTATTAATTCGATGCAGCGAACCGGGCCAAGTGCATAGTTTCGCTTAATTTCCATGTCTGTTTTATCCAGACGGGGACGGGGCGCGGGTATCGCGCACATCCCAAAGTAATAATAGTTGGAGGGAGGCCACGTTCATCGAGAAGATCGCATAAGTATACATGCATACACGTATATTATATGACCGCACGTACAATGTGAAAAGTTTTCACGGTACATGTACCGTATTACACGCACGCGCATATTCATGGGAACATTATTTCTCCCTTCCTTTCTCTCTCTCTCTCTCTCTCTGTATTTCTCTCTTTACATTGCATGTATATGAATTAAAACAGATTTCCACGATAAGTTTAACGAAACTATTCGCCACACGATATACTACGTACGTGCATGTAGTTATGTACACTGCACACACACACACACACACGCAGATGAAGCTCGTGCTCTCGAATATGCACTCGCGAATAAACTGCCGACGCCAGCCGCGAATGTATTAATACCTAATGCCGTATACGCGCGACCATTGTAATTTTAACGCTAGATTTTAATTGCTCGCCCCGTAAAATGAACGTTTCGCGAAAATAGTTCCCCGACTCTATATGCATATATCGATTCTCGATTATACTCGCGCGTCCAGTGATCAAGGTAAAACAGTCTCGAACTTTGGGAAATGCGTAGGAAAACGGCGTCGGCGTAGCTGAGCCCCGGCGAGTCGCGAGGCGATTATCAACGCGGCCACGTTCGCTGCACAATTGAATTAACTTTCATACGTATACCGACCGAGAATATGGCATCGCCAGTGTATTATAACGCGTAGCCAACTCGATTCATATTTACGCCATCGTATATACCTGTACGATCGTTGCTGCGCCCTCCTGCGCCGGGGCTTAATGCAGCTTAATAAGAAGCAGAGCGATACAAGAGCTCGCCAATTTCCATCGAGTTTCCGCATTCGTGCTCAGCCGAACGTTAAAATCCTCAGATCGAAGCACCGAGCTATATTCTTTTATATTTCTCCAGTTCTCTGCGAGGATGAAAAAAAAAACCAAGCTGGAGAGGATAGCGCCTAGGTGACTTTATATCCGGATTCGATAAGCAAGAGTTAATTAATTCGGCATAATTGAGCACTTCCATGTTCATTTGCGAGAGAAAGAGAAAGACTGAGAAAGAGTGGAAATGACTGAAAAGTAATGCTACTGCTGCTGCTGCTGCTGCTGGCGCTGCGAAGGGAAGGAGATCGAGTAAGGAGTAATCAGATATTTCTGCGCTACGTGCACTAATGCACATAGGTATACTCTATAGAAAATGAAAAGGAGCAAAAGGATGCATAAAGGCTGTGCCAGAAGACGATCCTATTATGGAACATCTCCATTGTCCCATGGCAATTATATGTTATAATGATAGAGCCAATGCCGCAGCTGTTGAAGCTTTCCTTCCATGTACCTGTATATAGAATCAATGCCGCACATCGCTCCAACTTTGAGATTGTGGAAAAATCTGCGAGTTCGATTGCCAAAGTTTTCACGGCGTATAACGAAGAGAAAAATTTTTCATAGAAATAAGAGCAAGGAATGATACGCGCGTACGTCGAGCCGGCGCGTATACATACGCGCATAATATTCCGTTCCAGTATATTATGCACAACGTTATATTAGTGCGCCAACAATTTGAAATTGCACATTTTTCTCTCTCGCTCGCGCTCCATTCCTTTGCCCGTCGCTTTTCCTCGACGTCGTCTTCGATGCGCGCAGCTGTACGTTACCCGCGGCTGCCTGCACCGTAACGATACAGCAGGCGCCAGATTGTCTTTTGCTTCTTTCCAGCTTCCTATATTGTACGTGCGCTTATACATTCCAGCAATCTGACTTTTAATCTGTGACGTTGATTCATATCTTTTTTGTCATCGATTACATCGAGTCAACTGTTCATTATGCTTCTTAACATAATAACATAGACCTATATTTGAAGAATTTTTTCAATGTTTTGTATAAGATGTAAGGTGAGCTTTTTGCAAGCTCAACATTTTCGATTATGTTGTCTCCTTTGTCTTATGTTATCTCCTCACTTTTATCAATTAGTTCGTTTGTATTCATGCAGTCGCGAGAAATATCTAGGAGCCATCATTTGCACACGTGTCTTACACGTATTTAACTAGCAGTTCTTCGCTTCGTCTGTTAATGCTATACGTATCGTAACCCGGCCTCTAGAGAGCTTAAATATTCATGGATCATTTGTAAATATTCATGCTCGTAAAGGGGTTCCAAGAAGTATACGCGTGTGTGCCTTTCTTCATTCTCTCTCTCTCTCTCTCTCTCATATATGTAAAAGGAAAGGACAGCAGCAGAAGCAGCAACGTCGTTTATTCCAGAAAAGTTTGCCGAGCAACTTTGTATATATGAATAGTCATACACGGCTGCATATATATTAAGTGAGGAGAGGCAGTTCGATGCTTACGAAAATGTGATTCAACATCTCGCGAGACAGCGAGAGTGAGACTTGAGATCCGATTGAATTAGCCAAAGCAAAAAGTTTTAATGCTTCGCTACTGAGTGATATTGAAAAAAGCTATTTTCCTCCCTCTTTCCCACTCGGCGAGTATTTGCATTTTGGCTCCGTATATTAGTTGCTTTTTATATCCGCACGCCCCGAGGATATGTTTCACACAATACGATAAAAACGTGCTGGTACGATATATATAATAATTCCTATGGCCTGCAAAATTGAGCTCCCCCGCGCAAAGAAGGTCCAGGCGAAATTTACGAGTCTTACGTCGAGCGAGTAAAAGGATGTTAAGAAGAACATATTAAAGACGACCCTATAAATTTGTGCGATCGTGCACGAGGCTATAAGCCGTGCCTCATCGTCTTATATAGCTACACGTTGCCCAGCGCGTAACGTCTATATTCCTCTACGTTTCCGTATTATGCATAGCTCGAGGCATAATTTTTGCCCTCCGCGTGGCCCGTCGCTTGGATTCGAAACAGACGATGAAATGTATGTGTGTCCGTGTGCGAGTGTAACGTATAGCGGCCCAGCTATATTTGCGGTTTTCAATGAGCCGAACGACAGTGATTTAGGTATTCCGATGATGCTTGGAAATATATTCCGAGTGATGTATCGCTACATACAGAGTTCGACAACATTTTACCAACAATTTCCCCTTTTTGCTATTTTTTTTTTTTTTTTAATACTTTTCCAGCTGGTTGAGTGCAAAAAATAAAGAGAGCTACGCAATTAATCACAACGCTTGTGTATAGCCCCATCTAACGCACTTTCGCTCCTTCATATATAAACGCGAGCTCGAATATATATTTACTTCCTGACTTTACTCCCCTAGAGAAATTCAACTGTAATTCTAAATTGGCGCTTGTCCGTTGGTACGACTGTTAATTTGGGATACATTCTCACCTTGCGCTTTTAACTTAGTTTCATCATTTAGAGACCTCTCGCATTCGCACTCGCTCTCACTCAGGCTTACGGCCACGTGCTCATACGCGCACATAGACGCGTCCGTTCGTTGGCGCAACGCATTCTACAGCGCGTAAATCGACGCGGGTTTTTATTCGGCCACCGTTACACACGCACGAGCAAAACTTTTTATGCGCTCGCGTTTTTCGCTTGATTTTTACGGCGTAAAGCGTCATAGAAAAATACACCGGTCATTACAGTCCGCTCGCGCACTTTGTTAAACGACGAAAATAAAAGCCCAGTTGTTTTCTTCGTTAGTGCAGCTGCGCGTAATCAGTATATATTTTATTTCACGATCGCCCTTTCACCGCTTTCCTTTTTATTCTCTGTTTGACTTTGTACATGTTTATCCATTGTTTTCCGTACACGTGTGTTTATAAATACGCGAGGCTCCGTGTGACTAATTTCGGCTATGACTAACGAGCTGACTCTTTTTTGTTTCTCGTCAAATTTTTCGTTCGAATCGTACTCGGTCGACGCTCGAAAAATGGCGAAAAAAAGAGAGAGAAAAAGAAGAACCTCGGGCCAAGTTGCCTGTCGCGAAGTGGTAAATTACGCGCGCCAGGGAGAAAAATACCAATATACGGGTCTGCAGAGCTGCAGCTAGCTACAGCGGCGTCTCAGTCTGATACAAAGTTTGCCATTCTGCGGCGGTAATTGCACGCGTGAGCTGCCGCGCGCTTCTCTTATTATTTTTGTTTTACTTTTCTTAGCTCTCGGCGCGTCGCGACATGCGCTATATCCCTCGTCCGACCCCGTAAGCGCCTCAATTTTTCTACGTCGTGGCTTGATGGCTTGCATATATAGCTATACAGGAGCGCGACGGCAGCAGTTGCCTTCTAATCGCGAGCCCTTCTCTTTCACCTTCCATCGCTGCAGAAACTCCGACGAATGGACCGGCTAAATTACCAGCCATACGTATTACACGCGGCCCGAGTTTGTGAAAAATCGAGCTTATTCGTCAAATTAAATAAAAATAGAAAACAGCATCGCAGCGCATTATGGCTGCCTTTGTTAAAGCTCGAAAATAGCAGAAAAAAGCTCGCTCGAGTTATCGTTGCGGAAATTCAGGCAAAAGCAAGCGTGATTGAAAGGGCGCTGCACTGGGCGCGCCTCGCAATCGATGTAACGGATGAAATCATGCGAGGAAATTATACTTGCCGATGAGAGCGAGCGAGCGGTCAGTCGTACGATACTAATGCGATTGGATAAATTCCAGTGGACAAAATTTAACGACTATAAACTCGTCGAGAATCATTGCACGATGTATCGATACCTATTAATTGGTCGATTTTTGTTTCAGCTCTGCCGAAGCAAGGACCCCAGATAACCGGGCTAACGCAGCAGTACGCTCTGGGCGAGAACGTGACTGCCAACTGCACCGCTTGGCCGTCGGTACCGAAGGCCCAGCTCAAGTGGACGATTAACAACAAAACGGTGACTTATCATGATTCTTATTTTCATCGATGTATTCATATTGTTCCTCGCAAACTCAACTCACGCGAATAGTTGATCTTTTTCTCGTTCAATTCTTCTTTACATTCCAATACCTTCTCTCTCCCTTGCTCTGGCCAAGTTGAAAAAGTGATGGAGAAAGAGAGGGAGAAAGAAAAGAAAACGTACGTCTATGTATATAGCTAAAGCTTTCGGTCCGAAAATATTGACTCGTACTACTAGCTCTGTCTTTGAAGTGTGGTCTTTCAGTTTACGCTTTTTCCTTTCTTTATCCGGCCCACTGTTGTATTATGTGTGTGTATATATATGTGTATCAAGCTTGATGGCTTTGAATGGTAAGATTTGGATTTCTTTTTTCTCTCTCCGCTCTCCGTCACATGCACGTACACACGGAATGTATTTTTTCACTCACTGTATGAGAGAAAGATTTTAGCGATGCATCTGTTTGGATAAACCTATTGACCGAAGGCGTGTGCAGGAACGCCGCGCGGATATTGCTTTTCTACTTTTCTCATTGGAGAACTACCTCCTACCCTTCTTTTGCAAGCTCACACCCATACTTATACATGCGCTCGCGTAAATAAAGTACAGAGCGCGGCCGAATGCTCCATGCCTCTCTTTTCTTTCTGTCCAACTTCTCTTTCATCTATTTCACATTGGTGTGTGTGGGTGCGCGCGCTCAAGCTGTATGAAATTTACAGAGATAATACGTCGAGAAAAAGGAAGAAAGAGAACACTTGGTCAAACTGCGCGTATAATATAAATAAGTTGAATACGTCTAAGTTGTCGAAGCAAAAAAAAAAAAAAAGAAAAAAAAGCAAACGAGGCCACTGCTCTTGCGTCGATGCTTTTATTAGCATTATATAAGTGAGAAGCATATAATAGCTTATCAAAATTGACGGCGCTGCGTGTATAAGGGAGGGTTAATATAGTGTGATAATAGCCTCGTTGAGTTTTACGAGCCGGCCATACGTGTACACGTAGCTCCAAGCCGGCTGACCACTTATTCTTCGGCTTTTTCCTTTTCTTTTATAACTCTTAGCTACACATCGGACAGCTTCTCTCGCTCAATTTTTACAAACGCCTATACCTTTTTTTTCGTGCTCGTGTCCGCGTGCTATCGCTTCAGGCCCGGATACAATAAACCTGTGCTATTATATATATAAATACAGGATTATCCCTTTGAAATCCTTTTAATATTTTATAGGACGCATTATAAGCTAGCTATAGCTGGCGACTCAATCAATGGAGAAAGGTCGAAAAAATACTTTTCCATCGATTCGAAGCGCGAGAAAGAAATATATTATATTCGGGTAGTTTTTCCAAGCAAGGAGAGAAAAGAAAGGGGCAAAGTAAAGGCATGGGACAATCTTGCAATCGTATAAATACAATAGGAGAAAAGGGACAAAGCCAAGCAATATAACGCATAAACACAAACGCACACAAATGTGCCGTATGCCGTACTCTTTTCTTTGAGACGACGCGCGCACCTATGTGCTAAAAAGCAATGACTCTTTTACTTGGACGTCGCTCGGCGCAATTTCGCGCATAATATTTTGGTCCAACGATCATAGACGAGTTTGCGCCATTGTTACACACCTTGGAACATTTCACGCTTCCGTACGTAGTCACGCGGCTACGAAATTCCGTTACTTTCTCATTGCTTTCGCACAAATACGAGCAGCAGCTCCGTAAATACATGTATACGCACGCGCGGCAGCTTATGCTTCTGCGTGTGTATGTAACGCGCAGCGCTGTAAAAGCTTTACTTTGTCGAGAATTAATCGATTTCGCTCGAAAACGCGTGTACGCCCACCTTATTATAAAGTACGGCAGTAGCTATCGCTCGAGCGAGACTTTAAAAATCGTCCGAGAGCAGACCCGAAGGCGACACAGTTATATAAGCACGCCGCGCATATATGGGGCTCTAAGGGAAGATCGAAATGGAAACTCGGCGAGGAGTCGACTTGGACTTTGTTGTCGTAGGTGGCTGGCCACCGCAAATCACGCGTAGCTCCGCGCACACGGGCCATCATCTGCCATGCTGGTATATTTTCCCTCCTTTTTTTCATCCGATTCGCAGATTAAGACTAACCCTGCAGCGATGTGTAAAAATAACGAAGGCGCAGCGCATCATCCCTTTTCTTTTCCTTCTTCGCTTTTCTCTTCTTTTTCTGCCCAACCCCTCCTTTTCTCCGTCCTTTTTTTTTCTTTTTTTTTTTTGATTCCTTGGTCCTTTCCATACCGTATGCGTGCAGCAGTGCGCGCTAAAAAGCACCGAGTGAAATGCAAAGACGATAAAGAAAATTTGTGGGTGCAGCCGAGCGCGAATCCGAGAATTAGAAAAAAGAAGCGAAGGATATCGCGCATATAGAGGAGCGCGATTCTCGCCGTGTCCTATGGGTATTTTATCGTATTCTCTAGACCTGTTCTCGCGAGCTATGTGTGAGATTTTACCCATTTTTTTCTTTTTCGCTTTTCAAATCATGTGGTGCTGGGTATAAATAGAAAAGGAGCGAAAAAATTTGGTACGTCGTAAATTTTAAGAAAAAAATGAATTTAAGCGCAAGGAGAAAGGAAGAGAGACGGAGAGAGCGGTGCAGTGGTTTGACTTATACATACGTACGTACGTACGTACGATGCCATCGAAAGAAAGGTAGTTTTTTTTCGGACCTCTCTCAAAAATATCCAATCCTTATAACTCGAGTCGATAATATTTCAAGCGAGTGTCGTTTACTTTAAAATGGATTAAATATAAAGAACGTCAGATATATGGGCGTCGGAGGTAAAAGGAGAAAGTATCGCATTGGTTATAAGCGTCGTATCCCTGACGGTATAATCCTTAACTCTTGGCCGGGGCATAGGTCGGTTGACGCAACTATACGGAGCAAAAACAAAAGCGAATATAACGGCGGAGCTCCGAGGCACACGTAGCGGCCGTCATGTGCCAACGGTGTGTGCTATATACACGGAATACGCTTCCCTCTCGCTCTCTCTCTCTCCCTGACGGTGGCGCGCGCTAATGGGCATGGCTCTCCCTCTCGCATTAACGGACGAAATTCGCTCGGGTTGCGCTTCTAGCTTAAAGCCAATACGTGACTACGCGCTAGGTACACTGCGCGCTGCACATACACAGCCACACGTGCCGCGCGGCACCGCCGCGTATACTTGCACTTCCGCATGTACACCGAGCTTGTTTTTATTTTCTCTCGCAATACCCCGTACCTATACAGATATAGACGCGCGTTCGGCTCAGCTTAGTTCTACATCCGTGTGTAGAAGAGATGATGAAAAAACGCGAGGCTAAAATACGCGCGAGCGAGCTCCCGCACGATCGGGCTGCGCATTCATAGCTGCTGCTCTACGTATTACCGGCGAAAAGTGTTTGGGATAGAAAAGTTACCTCTCTCTCTCTCTCTTTCTCTCCCTCTCTTCCTCTCTTTTTTTTCGAAATTTAATCGTATTTAAAGACTCGCGTGCATGCGCGTTGCGCGATTGTGCGAGTTAACGAAAAACGAAACTGAAAAACCTTTGTTTTCTCTCTCTCTCTCTCTCTCTCTCTCTCTTTCTTTCCAGCACAAATATGTGTATGCGAGAGCGTGCACACTTACATCAACGAGAAAGAGAGAATAGCAAAGAGAAAGGACACGTTATTTATTTCGACTGACTGAAGTGAAGCAAAAAATAAAAATAAAAAAAAGGGCCAGAGCAGCTCTTCTTCTGGCCAACGTCCAATATTGTTGAAAATACGAGATAGAGAGCGACGGGTATGCGAGAGATGACCATCATGTTCTCTTTCATGTTTATGCGTTAAAACGTCGCTGATAGAACAAATACGTGAATGAAAAAACCACCAACTTACCGCGATTCCATGAAAATGTTTGAAATATTTGATCGATTAATTAATTATAACAACCAAATACAGCTACGGCAGCAGCAAATACTTGAGAACTAGCGTGTGACTAGTGTTTATCTCTTCTTTAAAAAGTGAGTGTAGCGTAGGTAGGTTTGGAGTGCTGTGAACATTGGGGTCACCGATTGATGCGATGGGCGTTTTGTCCATCTTCCGAAAAGAGTATTGGAGCGAAAAATACAAGAAAAGCGAGGAGAATAGCACATTTTTTATTACGTTTGTAAAACACTTTAAAATTGCAGAAAATTAAAATAAATGATACTCATACTGCGAAGAAATGGCATAAGTACGATAAACAATTGAGAAGAAAAGCAATATTAGAAACAGATAATAATATATTCTTACTTTTGATTTATGCTCCTTACTTCGATCAGGAAAACGTATTAGGTGCTTTAAAATTCAAGCATGTATATTAATATTTTTTGTATGTTTATAAATATTTAGATCGTCATCAGGATAATACTAAATAAATATTTTACTTTGATGTGTTCATAAACATTACGATATATGAGAAAGATTATGCAGGCGACTATATTATGTTTGTATTAAGAAAAAAAATTCGAACGCGTACACAAGTTTTCGTGGAAATCGAGACAATTTTCTGCATGTTCGCATACATATAGATAAAACAGTTACTTGTACAACATTCGTTCGAAAGCTCCGACTACACATTTTTTGCATTTCTGTCAAGAAAAAAAAGCAACAACGTCTTCTCTGTATGTGTATGTCTCTATACTTTTCGGCATCAAATATGGCTGTATTATAAAATGCCTTCGAGACAAAAGCCGAAGTTAAAATTAAAATTTTTGTGCGCGCGTCTTTTTTCCTTCCAATCCGTTTGCGGTATAATTATTATTATCATTACTTCTTTTTATATCATATTACACATTTTGTTTTTTGCATTCATATTGAGAATTTACGTATGCAGAGAAAAAAATTTTACCTCCACGATGCATAATACACGCTTGGTTGCGCGATTGCTATCGCGAGGTCGGTTATTAAATTACAATATGTTTAGCCATTGCCCAGTTGCCGTAGGTGAATACCCTGTGACAGTGGTAATGAATTCATTCAAGCGCAACAGCGCATTCCCGCACTGTTACCTTTTCAGTTATTTTTATGGTTTATTTCGATGTTTAGCACCAGTACAGTGTCTAGCCTGGTCATTCTTTACTCGAACATAATTCAACGTGTAAGAATTTTTTTTTTTCGGACGGATTTGTTTTTTGATGCAACTTTTTTTCTCCCTAAAAATAAATGTTAATGTCAAATCAAGAGGTAATATTTTTTGTGCAATGAAAAACAAAACATATTTAGCCGAGGTTTGTTTTCTTTTCGATTTACTGCAAGATCGAGTTTAGCCAATAATGGCTTTTCGTAAGTTGATCGCTGAGTAATCAAAAGACAAGAAGCAGATATCGATGTTCTTTTGCGCGCTAGATTCAACGTCTATGCACAGTATGTCTGGTAGATGTAAAAGTAAGAAGAGCTCACGAGGATGTCGTATGTCATGTGGAAATGCATCTATCTGTCGAGTTCTTGAGAAAATTCTGCTTTCGTCTGCTAAATTTTTCCATCAATTTTCAGCTCAAGTTTTATAAATATTGACTTTTTCCTTCAAATTTTTTCTATGTTATTGCTATTTATATTTATAAAAATAAATAATTAATAACAATAGCAAATTTTTATTTGAAATCACAGGAGAATACACCATTTCGTAAATTACCAAATTTCTGCTGTCAAGTCCAATGAGAAATAAAGTTATTCAAGTAGTAGAATGCTTATTTAAAAAATTCAAAAAATTTGACGTGAGTTAGCCACTCGGTGCAGTACGTTGAGTGCTCGTTAAAACTTTTCGCGGATTTGAAATATTTCGATTGAAATGGTCGGTATATTCGCTCTGAGTGTTTGGGCGGAGCTTAGAGTGGCGCTACAGTCACCATATACACGTAATCTTATGGAAAAACAGGACGCGCCCTGAAAAACTGCCAGTGTCGGCCGTTCGAACTAAATTTTTTCTTATGAGAATCAACATGAGAAAGCGCCACGCTGTGTGAACGCTCGGGGCCAATACACAGACACTGACGATGACTATCTCGAGAAAGCAAAAGGGAGGTTCGACCAAACGAGTTGTAAACTTCATAAAAGAAAGAGAAAGATTATTATTCGTTTTATCTCGCTTATCCATATAGCTGGCGCTGTAAACCATCAAGTTACGGGCATGCAACGTCACGCGTAAACTTAATGACGATTTATCGTTTTCATAAAACGCTTTAGTGTCTTGATTTTTTTTTCGTCTATACAGATATAAAACTGATCATTGGTTTCAAGCGTATCCATAGCTAACAGAATTATTATTTTTTTGTTGAGAATAAGAGAAAAAGTAGTTCGTAAATCAAGGAGAAAAACAAAATATTTCTCCAATGGGGAAAGTGTTTTTCGTCCATTTACATTCATATTCATCGATTCCATTGTCCTGCTCGCAAGACAGCGGATACGTGAGAGTGCATTGAAAATTAAAGCTTCGCTCGGATTAGCACGTTAATCCCTTGGTACGTCGAAAAAGAAATGTGCGTGCGTGTGTGTGCAAAGGAGAGGGAAGGAAGAACCATTTACGTGGCAACGATGTTCCTGCACCTGCGAGTTATAATACATACGTATATATATCTCTGTTTCACTCTCGTCTCTTTCTCTCTCTCTTTCTTTTTCTCTTGATTTCTTTTTCTGGCATGAATATTCATTAGAGGAGTGAGGACTTAAAACTACACATACGTATGGCTCTGTCGAGGAGATATTATCCAGTACAGCAGTGGAGAGTAGATAAGGCTTGTAAAGTTGCAATCCTTGCTGTAAACATTTTCTCTAAGGTTTCTCTTCTTAATCGCACAGGATTTTTATACATAGATATACTTAAGCTTCCATCCGCGATTCGTCATAATTTATAAGTCAACCTAATAAAGTCAGTAAAAATAGAACGGAAGAAGTAAAACAATGAAAATTTTTCAACGATAAAAAGAAGTTGTAATGATGGGTTGACAGAAATTAATTTTTTACAATAGAAATTTGAATTACCTGTGAATTATTTCGTTAAAACGAAGAACTTTGATAATGCCTTTTTGATTATTACAACTAAAGGTCACTCAAAAGTTTTGTAAATTAAGTAAGAGTGTTTTTATTACTCTTAGACTGAGTATGCCAATTCAAATTATAAAAAAAGCAGAATTATATCGTACACTCTTTGAAGTGGATTAAGTGCTTGACACACGATAGGAGTTAGCGCAATACAATAGTTTCGTTGAAAGACTTGATCGACCATGACTTAAAGCAGAGTGAGTTATTTTTACCATCGAGCGAGAATTAGACTACCGTCTCTATTTTTCACCTTTGCTACCTGATACTTACAGGTCATTCAAGTTATCAGAAAATTATCTTCGCCTGCGTAGAAAAAATAAATGCGCTCATTTATTCATCGTCTACAATACTTCGCAGCTAGGCAAGGTAGCATAATTTTTTAAGGGTTTCCTATTGTTTCGTAAAGAAAATTGTCTATAATACCGCAATGTACGGTCACCGATATCTTACACGTAGACAATCGTATTTATTATATAATAAAAAATGAGAGAAGCTGGAAAAGAGACTCACAAGGGGGCGCAAAAGAGAAAGATGAGATACGTGAGCGGATGAGTTGGCTCGAAAACTAGAGAAAGAGATAGAAGAAGAGGAAAAAGAAAGAGGTGAAAAGCGTCGAGGGGTGTATGGCAATCGATGCTCGCTCGTGAGCATACACGCTCGTTGCGTGCGTTATACAGCAGTGTGTACGGCAGTGAGTCACAAGGAAACACGTAACTCTTCTCTATCTGAGCTGCATTTCCCTCGAGGGCTACTGAAGTTTCGCCACACATACACACCGCTCGCTGATATATATAGAACGGCAACATCCCACTGCTACCTGTCATATAGGTGTACTACTTTCTTTTCTCCACTTTGATACACTATCTTATATCTATATCTCTACATAATTATAAGTCTCTCCTTACTTTCTATATACTTGCTCGTGTAGCACATGGAGAAGATCTTGACGACATTCGTATACCGATACATTACATGGAGGTAGTCTTCGGGGATGGTTTTTACTCCGGATAGTTATCTAAGCTTTTGCCGAAGCGAAATAAAGTACCAACTTTTTAAAACCTTATATCATAAAAGCTGTGTACTACTAGTTGTACAACAAAGTAACTTTTTCACCATGTTCGAAAACGACGATTCATATTGTTTTTTTTTTACATTATTGGCTATTTTTTACCCGGCGTGCTTGGACGAACCATACGATGTATTTACAACAAGTAGAATGAATCAATGTTGCGTCCGACTGCAGATTAATCGACGTAATACGCGATATCGTGACGTTTAATGAAAACTTCCCCACAGACATTTGTTCTTTGAATTGGATAATTTGATTTATCATCGAATAAATAGAGTGAACAAGCACCACACAGCGACGTTCACACACACACACGAGGGTGCGCGTCCGCATGCACAACATTCACATACGTAAGTAAAGGTCGTGCGCGGTAACAAACCCAATCTCCATGACAAAAAGCAGCTCTTCGCTCAGCGTCGCCGTGTACGTATATATAGCCGCACGTACAATATGTCCCCGAGAACGCATGAAATCTAAATGTACGCCTGGGAAGTAAAACAAAAAAAGAGAAGGAAGAGCTCGTTCTTGGTCTCATCGCTCAAAAGTAACAGCAACGAAAATTGCTCGTTCTTGCCCGTGTAATTTTTCACTCTCGGTAGAAAACACAAACACACTCGCGCGCAAGGGAGAGACTCGCATTAACCTTTCGAGACATCGGGCCCGATTATATATTACGCCGAAAGTCCTCGTCGTCGGGCTGAGCTAGCACTGCTTCACAGGCACATCCTTCTAGGCGAAATAACGAAGCGAGACCAGCAGCGATGCAGCCGCGATATATTTTAATCCTCTTCCGCAGCCCGCGGGACGGCGACGAGCGAGCGAGTATATTCACTTGTGCCAAGTCTGATGTCTTTTCGCACGGATTTTTACAGTTGCTTAACGCTTCATAAATCGCCCGTTCGCTTTGCTTTGTAATATACGCCTGGCCTCAGGCATTAATATCGTACACCGCTCGAGGTTTATTCATGGCTATTTCGGTACGCGCGCCTCTGCGATTTTTTGCACGTATATTGCAGACCCCGACTCGCTTTCCAATTTTTTCCATCCTCCCGTGCACTCTGCAATAAAGATAAAAGATTGAGATACATATGCACGGTTTCGCGTTGGCGAATAGCACGACTGCCAGAGCATAATATGATAATTTCGTTCGGGCCGAGCTCTTGTTTTGCTGCTCGTGCTGGCTCGATTCGTACTACTGATTTTCAATTCGATCATTCCATTGCAAGCGAATGAAATATCAACTCGTTCGTTTTGGCATTGCAGGTGCCGTACGACTACGTTGTGCAACATCCAACTCATCAACCGATCGAGTCTCAAGGAACGCCCAACAGCATAGGCCTGCGCTTTACGATCGACAATCGTTACCTGAAGACCGCCAGCTACCTGGGAGCTTTGAGGATTCGCTGCGTCGCCCTGGTTGGCTCTCGGCGCTTTGAAACCGAGCAGCCGGTCATGCTAGCCCACGCCAACAACCAACGCTTCAGCGCTGGCGATTTGAGGAGTCGCGCCCCGAGCGCAGCCTACAGTCTAGCTCTCTTACTGCTCGGAACCATCTTGACCGCCACGTGACCAGTTCAATATATCGCGTCCTTTATTGTTTTGTAAAAAAAACCTTATGACTATTTCATGAGCATGTTCTTTTGTAAAATCATCGTGTTATATAATTCAGATGATGATTCGTTATTGAGATTGTATATGATATTTATGACGATATACGTTAACGTTTAAGTGATAGCATGACGAACGAGGCGAAATCGAAATTTTAAGATTGCGAATTTGTAAATTAGGATAAAGTTAAAAGCAACTGCGAGTGAATGCGTTCATCCAAGAAAAGTTGAAATTTCGAGGTTTTCGTGAATAATTATCTCGAAATCGTTATTAAATTACTCATATTATAGGTTATTATTATCTTGTAGAGGGCGCCACACGAGGTCCATAACGTGATCCTACGAGTGCGCTTGCGAAAGTATGTAAGTACACAACTCGTATATTTAAGGTGAATTTGATTATATAAGTATTTATGAGCCAGTTTGAACTGTGCGTTGAACATAATTCCACTTGGTATCATTTGAATAGTGCCTTTGGAAAAGTAAAATGTTTTATTAGTAAAGAGTTGCACGAATTAAAAATCCAAAGACATTTGTTTGAAACTTTCTAGTTGTAAATTAGTGCATACATCTGGGAAAAATGATATGTTGTGGCTAAGTAGATGGGTTCGTTCAGGAATATCAAGTAGAATTATCTCAACTGTTCATCTGGAAATGTATCTTTATATACGCGTGAGATTGAAAAAATGTGAAAAACGACACTTGATTAATTGTCGCTACGATTTTTAATCGTCGGTGAACGAACAAAAATAAGTGTTCATTTAGTGATATGAAGAGTATCTGTTGTTAAGAACCTCTTTGCTGTCCATCGTTATCGTTAAAATCAAAACAGAACGAGATTTAAAAATTGAGACTGTCGTTTAGCAATCCAAAATAATCTACAAATAGTATAGTCTCGCGTACGCGATCTTGTAATAAATATACAAAGATGGATTTTTCTGGACTGTGAATAGACAGATTCTTAAATATTATTGAAAAAAGTTTGCAAGCATGTTGAGAGACAAATAGCATTTTTAATGGTAAGTATAAATATATGTAATTATAGACAAATTATCACATGTATTTGCGATTGCGTGATTTTTGTAAATACAATTTATTTGTGTATAAAAATGGAGAGAACTATTCATTATAGTTAGTAAAATAATATTGGTAATTAATAGGGTACTTATTTTGTTATCAATTGCGCAGTAAAATTTTAACGATAAACGGATTGAAGAAATTTATAAAAAAATTCCTGATATCATTATAATTTAGTCATTAAAAGATACACAAGTATAAAAATATTGATTATACTACAATTATTATACTAATGAATATGTTGCACTGTAAATTTTACATTTTATTTTGAAACAATTACCCTTTGAACTTGAAACTAGCCAAGTTTGTGTCACAACCCTGCCACATATTTTTGAGAATAAAAATTATTTTATTTCTGTACATCGCGAGAATCAAAAAAGGGTTATAATCAGTTCGCAAGGCGGTTATTGTCATTCAATGGTGGATGAAAGGAAAAATCTGCAAATGTCTATAGGCCTACAGAAATCATTATGAAAAGAGCTTTTTCATCACTGTGTGCGAAAAGTGCTACTTCCCGCATGGCTTGCGATTTTTATTTTCTGCACGTTGTAATGAAAATTAGTGTACGCCCCCGTTGCGTAATCTACTATTAAAGTGGATGAAAGAATAAAAACTGCACGTGACAAGCCTTCAATTTTTGTTTAAGCACTCGAGTTTTCTTCGTCGATCGTTTGTTGAGGAGAACAATCTCATAAATACGTAATATTTATCCAAATAATTGAAAATGTAAACATACTAAAGAGCAAAAAAACTGTGCCAATTAATTTTTATTATAAATTCTAAATACTTATAGGACAAAACCCGAATTTCGAGTCTGACTTTTGAGCACTACCAACTATCATTCATCATCATGATACAAAAAAGGCAAAACAGCATATAATAAGAAACTGCATGTTTTCAAAAAATTTCAATGTTGCGTGCATTTCTTACAGATTTTGAAAATGTCAAATTTTTTCAGTGATCTAAAACAATTCTGTAACTCCAAATAATAGTATGCCATGTATGATTCAAAGCTAAGATACGTATGGAAATAATAATGTCCCTGCCGCACATATCACAAACTGCGATTTTAATAAGAAAAAAAAACGAGAAAATAATTGCAAGCACGCAAATTTCTGTCTTTTTACTTCTGTAATAATTTTATATAATATTGCACGTGCGTACTCAAACATAAAGACATAACAAAAATTTTAAAAATGACAAAAAAGAGCGCAAAATCTCAAATTTTCTTTCGAAAATGAAAGAGATAAATCGATAATACTTAAGAATGTGTTAATGATGACTAATACGATAGTGACGATATCCAAAAACTATTGATTGTAAAAAATAAAGACTAATAAAAGTAAAAGTAATCAATATGAAAAGTAAAGTAAATCGTTTGCTTAAGTTGTTCTTTTTTTCGCTAATTTTTTTCATACTTCTTCTTTTCGATATATATTTTTGCGCAATAAAGAGATACCAATGTATACATTATATAGGATATGTATGTATAGATATATATACATCTTTCATTCTCGCGTTATTAATTACGCCCGAGGACACAATTTTTGCTTGAGAGCGTAGCTAGCACACATACTGCGGTTCTGAGCTACAAACTTTGCTCGATAAATTACAAAAGTTCGCGCAGAGAGACCTATCGGTCCATGCGCGCCTGCGTGTACGCTCGCATCACTTTATTCGTTTTGCCTCGTATAGATAGCGCATCATTGTTCTCGAATAGTTTCATTTTTTTCTATTGTTTCTGACCGAAAAATTCTGATTCATAATCATGATGAAAATTTTTTGGGCTTTGAGTACAGTCACTGATTGCTCTGAAATAGCTTTCTATCGCCAAGTGTATGACGTAATTTATAAGATCTCATAGGCTATTTCAATTTTACACTAGCCAAGGCTGATCACATCGCACGTTTTCTACTCGTCGTTGTCCAGACTAAAAGAAGAGAAGAGCGGAGCATGGTATGTATATATATATATGGGTGTGTTAACCCCTTCTCCACTTGCTCTTATTCTCAGCTACGCGCAGCAAGTTTTCTCGCTTTCTTTCTGCCTCGCTCGTTCGACGCCCGCTCGATGTAATCGACGAGAAATTCAATTTCTTTGGCTCGTCCTGTACCCTCTCGACGGAAAAAACGTCTCCATTCGTTTTCGGCAGGCCAAAATGGGGCAACTGTGTCGGCAAATCCTCCAGATGATTCGATCGTATTATGCCGTAATCGAAATTTACATTTGTATTCGCAATTTGAGCCATGAGCAGGAGCGAACTGAAAAAATCGCTCTCGATATACAGGCTCATCTTTTTCTAGAACTCCAACAAGTAGCTTTCATTGCAAAAAGCGCAAAGTGCGCCAATTTCAATTGATAATAAAGCCCTTATGAAATTGGAAGCGCAAAATTGCATCACTCGCCTAATGCTGTCCGCAGCCGCACACACGCTCGTCCGCGTGAGAATAAGTTATGTATATAAATATAAGCGGCAGAAGCTGTGTATATGCTGTATCTTATATATATGCCGTATATGTATATAGTATATAAACATAACGCGCGCGTTGTGTGTCACACAGGTTTTGGCTTAAATTTACGTCCGGCTGCGTCCGGCATCTCTAATTCATCACTGAATTTTCCCTTCGCCATATAATGTATGTAGTTGTGGCGACCAGCATGTGCGTCTCTGCATGTGTGTACGCGCGGCGGCGAAAGTTTTGAGGCCAAACTTTAGCGCGTGGCATGTATAATAGTTGCAGGAGCAGCGCCGCACGTTCCACACATGCACTCGCACGCGTGTACGCCCGGCGTTATATGCATAGGGATCGTATGCAAAAGAGAGACAGAGAGTGAATGAGCCAGTCGTATATGTATAATGTGCCCCTGCCTGATGATACAGTATTAGCGTGTTTGGAAAATTTAGAGACTTGATTACGAATCTATGTGTGGCTGCGGTCATTTTGATGAACTTGAGAAATTTCGTAGCAATATTAGACTTTTTTTCATCTTCCATCCAGCTTACGAAATGATCGCTTACATCGCCGAATTTTTTCCCCATTATTTTTCTTATCAAGTACAACGAAAAAAAATATTATTATTAGCCACGCGCTTTTCACTTTCTTTTACTTTTTGGCTAGGATATTTTCAATACAGCCTACCAAGCAAGAGTTTACATTAACGCGACCTGGCTTTGCAAAAGCTCTGCGCTGTTCTTGACAATTTTCTCTCTTTCGAGCTTTTGTGTATTATAAGCGTGTTCGCCCGAGGAGTAAAAGTTTTGCCTTTCAACGCTGCGCTCGAGCCTCTCTTTCTCTCTTCCTCGCTCCCTCCCTCCCTACCTCGTTTTCGCCCTTGTATAAATACACACGATGGAGTTTTCAAAATGATGAACTTTAATTTGGAATACATCAACCTGAGCTATATAAGCGAGGAAGAAGGATGTCACGCTTGTAAAGAAACTCTGCGTGGATGAATATTAAATGTTGAGCCAAAGGAAAGTACAAATTTTGCGTGAAACAACTTTGCGATTAAAACGAAGCGGTTTGATCATTTTTAATCGCGTGTTGCCTACTGTAATTTTTAATTTTCATATTAAAAAGCTTCTTCTTTATATTAAAATCAATGTAATTATGAAAAACAAGAAATTTCGAGGGCATTTATCTGTAATCAAAATTTTCATTAAAAGTATGCGTATAAAAGCTATAATACATTTTTCAAAGATAGACTTTTGAATTATTTGGTAATTAATTATTCTGATTTTTTGTCCTAAAAACGATAATTTCATCTTTGCTTTTATAAATTCGATTTTTTGGTCTTTGAGTACTTAATTAGGTTTCATGTGGAATTTACCTATAAAACAGTACTAGGTGCATACTTTTTTGCATTATCTTTTCGATTTATAATTCATGCTTTTTTAATAAGTTATTTTATAGACTTTCTTCAAAGTGTATTTTAAGAAGTGACTGCGAGTGAATTATTCATTAATTTAAAATGAGTAGCGATCAAATTTTCAAGGGTTTGAAAGGAAATTTTTAAGATTAAAAATGTGTTTTTTCCAAAATATTCGCGTAAAAAGTACGAATGGAAACTAAATTTTTTAGAAGGAAGGAATATTATTTCAACAAACTACGAGAAAGGCCTTCTTTACTTTTGTTTTTTATCTAAATATCTATATAGTTTTTTCTAACAAATATTCAACAAAAATTTTATTCTGCATCTTTATAAATATAATTTTCGAAATAAATTTAAAGAGAGAGAAGTAGGGTTATTTTGCATTTGGAGCATAATTGCAATAATTTTTTAAAATACTTATTGTAAATTAGATTTATTTATAACTGATGCACATGATAAATTATTACTTTGAAAGTCTCCAGTAAAATTTCGACTCAAATAAAAAAAAATAGTATTGATTATAGATTAAAGTATTTATTTTAAAATATAAATAAATTTGGTAAATCAATTTTGTGTGAATATGGTTAATAAAGTAATATGCTCACAAGAACTTCAAAATAAAAAATTAGTCAAGGAAAAAATATAGCGGTAAAGATCCAAAAAAAAGATGGAATGAAATAGATGTTTGCGGCAGTTATCTACATTTTTTCAACTTCATAATAATAAATTAAAAGAAAATTGTAAATAAAATTTTATCACGACAAAGTAAAAATGAATAATATAGATGATTTTTAGTGATTTTGTTCAATAAAGTCAACATTTACTGGTCTGTAGTGATTTTAATTTATTTTTTATTTCATTCATTTTTACACGGTAAGCTCCTGCAGTTGACAAAAGGTTTGACAAACAGCTTCCATCATAATTGTAGCAAAAATTGAATTTTCAAG